GAGGTGAAGAGCTGAGGGACAGCACCCAAGCCAGAGTTCAAGCCCCACAACCAACCAAAAAAAAAGAAAAAAAGGGAAAAGAAAAATGGATAGGCAAATATTTAACTGATTCTCAGGATAGATAAAAAAATTGCTACAGCATAGCCAAAGAAAAATACTTTTAATCTAAGCACTGCTAATATCAGAAATAGGAATACTTACTGCTAGCTACCTGCAAAATTTTCTGCTAAGACTAGAGAAACCAAAAGAGACTAGAATTAGGACTAAAGAGCAGCTTTCAAGAAGCATTAGGTTATATCATAAAAATATTTTAATTACAAAAAATAGGTGACAAACTAAAACTTTTACAATATTAAAGGTCAGTCTTAAATATGAGAAAAATTTAAGTATGTAACTAAAATCTAAATATTATAAAAATGGACAAAGTTAGTGAACAAATAACAAAATGAACCAAGTTTGTGAACTAACAAATTACAATATTAAGAAACAGCAGGGTACTGGTGACTTACACCTGTAATCCTAATTACCCAGGAGGCTGAGATCTAAAGATTGCGGTTCAAAGCCAGCCTGGGCAGTAAAGTTTGTGAGACTCTTACCTCCACTTAACCACCAGAAAACCAGAAATGGTACTGTGGCTCAAAGTGATAGAGCACTAGCCTTGAAAAAAAGTGAGCTAAGGGGGCTAGGAAGGTGACTCAGTGGTAGAGCGCTTGCCTTGCATGCTTGAGGCCCTGGGTTCGAGTCCTCAGCATCACATAAGCAGAAAAAAAAAGCCGGAAGTGGAGCTGTGGCTCAAGTGGTAGAGTGCTAGCCTTGAGCTGAAGAGCTGAGGGACAGCGCCCAGGCCCAGAGTTCAGGCCCCAGAACCGGACCCAAAAAAAAAAAAGTGAGCTCAGGGACAGTGCCCACGATGGGAGTTTAAGCCCACAACTGACCCCCACCCCCCCAAAAAAAAAAGTGGGGAAGAAATAAATATTTAACATCATTCACTAAGGGAAAACCAAATTAAATCAGATGTTCAATTTATTGTTTTTTAATGACAACTACTGATGGGTGAAGTACTAGAAAAGTAGGTATCCAAGTTTGTAGAAGTATAAATTGATAAACTTTGAAAATTCCACATACTCTGACACAAGAACTCTTAAATTTTTATCCTTAAAAAAAATGTATTTATCATCTGGGTGCTGGTGGCTCATGTATGTAATCCTAGCTACTCAAGAGGCTGAGATCTAAGGACTGCAGTTCAAAGCCAGCCTGGGCAGGAAAAGTCTATTAAGACTCCTATCTCCAATTAACCACTAGAAAATCAGAAGTGCAGCTGTGGCTCAAAGTGGTAGAGCTCTAGCCTTGAGTGAAAGAGCTCAGGGACAGAACTTAGGCCCTGAGCTCAAGCCCTATAACTGACCAAAAAAAATTACTTTTATCAAAGCATTTACAACAGAGAAAATTGGAGACATTAAATTTCAAAAAGGAGTTGATTAAATATAACACATTATAGTCTCTCTGTATTAAAGAATATAATGTCTTAAATGAAGATTACATGATAAATTAACATATATAAATATTAATTCAAATATAATCTATGTTGTTTGAACTTCCTTTAATTTTCCTAAATGCCTAAATCATTATAGATAGAATAATCTAAGAAAACTTTAAAAGGGACTTGGAAGTGTGGCCAAGAAGTAGAATACTGTCTAGCATTCCAGGTTCAAGGCTCTGGGTTTGAATCCCTCACACTGTCAAAACAATAAAACCTAAATGAATAAGGAGTTGAAGAGCTGGGCAACGTTGGCTCACACCTGTAATCCTAGATACTCAGGAGGTTGAGATCTGAGGATCATGGTTCAAAGCTATCCCAGAAAGGAAAGTTCTTGAGATGTTTATCTCCAATTAACGACCAAAAGAATGGAGCTGAGGCTTAAATGACAGAGCACTATTAGTGAGCAAAAAAGCTCATAGACAGTGCTCAGGCTCTGATATCAAGGCCTAGAACTGGCACCAAAATGACAAAAAAGAGTTGAGCTGAAAAGCATGAAAGGAACAGATTACACTGCTTGATTCTAAGAAATAACAAATTCTAGTATTTTATTTAGAACAATAATCAATTTTAAAATACTTTGCATGCTCATCTGAAAGTAGGCAGCATAAAAATTATTTTTAAACAGTTATATGATATGACTTGGGTACTTGAGATTTGTAGGCATCTGAGTTTAAAATTATTTATTTATTTGTTTTACTTATTTGTTGGTCATGGACTTGAGTTCAGGGACTGGGCATTGTCCCTGAGCTTTTTTGATCAAGGTTAGGGTTCTATCACTTTGAGCCACAGTGTCACTTTGTTTGAATGGTTAACTGGAGATGACTCTCATGGACTTTTCTGCCTAGGCTGGCTTCAAACTGAGATCCTCAGATCTCAGCCTCCTGAGTAGCTAGGATTACAGGCATGAGCCACCAGAACTTGGCTTTAAACTTTATTTTTAAGCTGACATTTAATGTAGTCTACAAACAGAAAAGTCAGGATAATTTTCTACTCATCAGCTATAAACAAAATTAACCAAAGATCTTAAAGTGCAATAAGCCAAACAATAAAATGTGCTCATTTTGGGGGCTGGGAAGGTGGCTCAGTGGTAGAGCGCTTGCCTTGTACGCATGAGGCCCTGGTTCGATTCCTTAGTACCACGTAAGCAAAAAGAAAAAAGCTGGAAGTGGCACTGTGGCTCAAGTGGTAGAGCGCTAGCCTTGAGCTGAAGAGCTGAGGGACAGCGCCCAGGCCCAGAGTTCAGGCCCCATGACCAGACCCCACCCCCCCCCCAAAAATGCTCATTTTTAAGATGCAGATAATAGTTTCCCAATAAATGTCTTATTTTTGCAGGGAGGGAGCACAGAACTGTGGATTGAATTTCGGCCCTTAAATTCTCTTGGCTTGCTTCTTCTTAAATCTCTACCACTTGTATCAGACTTCTGGTTTAATGTAACTAGTGTTACAAGCATGAGCCACAGAAGTCCAACCCATAGATGACTTTTTTAAATGCTATACCATCTCTCTGTAATCTATTCTCTTTTCTCTGCTATTTTTCCACCTCGCACTTAAATTACATAGAAAACCAAATATAAGTAAATGAAAGCCACGATAGGAAAAAAGAGTTCCCTATTGGGCTGTAAATGGCCCACTGAACTTGTCCCCTCCAAATGAGACTGGTAGATATCAATATGATCTGATGAATGTGTCTCAAAGTCACTAGAAGTAGAGGGGCTGAAGAGTATGAGGCAATGATGCCAGAAATCTATTTTCTGGACATAAACAGAGAACAAAATTCTCAAAACTTGCATTTATACATCATTTTACTATTTATATAGCATTGTTATATACTTTAAGAAAAATTCCAGAAAATGTTTGCTTCACGTTTTTTCCATGTGAGAGAAAAAAGGCTTAGAGAAGTTAAGCAACTTAAATGTCGTAGAGCAAACAGTGGGCTTTAAACTCAGATCTAAATGTTCCCAAATGACCCATTCCTAACAGAAAAGTAGTACAATTTTAAATGACCTTAGAAAAATATTCATAGTTTCTAACCAAGTAGTACTTCAATCAGTGATTCACTGTGACAAAAATCTCATCTCATTCCAGCTAAATACTGAATGTTAATTTCAGTTTGTGATCAGAAATACTAATAGATCACTCATTTGAATCACAAAGATAAAAATTAATAGGCAGCACTCAGTATTCTCACATTTCATCACGATTCAATCCTCATACCCATGAGGATTATATAGACTTTTCTTGTCATTATTCCCACTACTTGTATAACATTTGCATTGTAATAGGTATTGTAAGTAATTTCTGAAATGATTTAAAGTATATGGAAAGATTTATTATGTATAAGTTATATGCAAATACTACTCCATTTTATATATGACAGCTGAGCATTTGATGGTTTCTATCACTAAAGATTGGAGAGGGGAGCACTAATCCTCTCAGATACCAATTACCAGTTACTCAGTTACCATATTACATGGTAACTTAACATTTTTAAACAGAAAAATTCTACTACTGACAAGTTTTAAAAAGGATGTTTTTTTTGACAAAGATATCTTAAAATCTTCAGAATCTGTGATATAAGGTGCCATATTTAACATAAACTCATTGCTTGTTACATCCTACTATTTTCGAACAGGTTGAGTATTCAAAGTGTTTCACATGTTCAAGTTTTTTAGATATTGGAATATTTGCAAACACTGTAAATTAAGCAACTCCGATCCAAAATGTACTGAAAGCAATACTTGGTTCATTGAACTCCCACTACCTATACTTAGCATTTAACATTAACCTCTTAGTCCTCTCCCAGTGAGCATCTCATTGAATTCTAATTAGCCACCTATGAGTTCTAGTTTGCTAGCTTCTCAGTAAGGTAGGTGTAGGTTTTAAGGTTCCCAAAGTAAACCAACATAGTAGTATAAATGCAACATTAGCTTAAGCCCAAATATTCTATTACAGAAAAAAATAAAATTCTAAAACAAGTTTGAGTGTATCTCAAGCTGAGTGTACCCTTATCTGAAATGCTTGGCATCATTAGTATTTCAAATTTCAGACTTTTTGGATTCTTCAGAATATTTACATACACGTAATATGTTATCTTGGAAATAAGACTCCAATCTAAACACAACATTCATTTGTAACTTATAGCCTGAAGGTACAATAATTTTATCTAATTTACACATGAAACAAAGTTTGTGTACACTGAATCATCAGTCTTGTGATGCCATGTCAATGCCGAGTAACATATAGATTTTTAGCGCATTTCTGAAATGATTTTAAGATTAGGATGGCTCAACCTACAATTTTTCCTCCAATAACAAACATCATAACTACTTCCTCCCCCTTTCCTTTTAGTTCAGAACCAACACAAAAGAAGAAAATAAAGGAATTTAGCAAATGAGAACAAAAATATAAATGAAACGAAGCCAAGAAGCTTTTGATTACTTCAACTATAAATTAAACTTACCCAGTTATAACTGTAGGTGTTCCATTTCCTTCTCTCGTGTAAGAGTCCAGTAAGTTCAATAAACCTACCATACAGATGAATAGAAAATATATCCTAAGAATTTGGAGTTCCAAAAACAGAACTGGAAGGCATCAAGAAAAATATAGTCAATTCCTCCTCCTAGTTTCTCCAGATTCTTATTTGGGAGGATATTTCAGAGGATGAGAGGAGGTAGGGGCAGAAAGCTACTTCCAGGAAAGAATTTCCTGGTTTACAAGTCACTGTAGAAACACTAGGAAAGGAAAATGATGGCGTTCCACTCCCTCAACAAGCTCAGTCTTCACAAATACTAAACACAAAGCTCTCAAAAGGTTTTTAAAACTCTCAAAAATGAACATATAACAATGACAATACATAATTCCTCCTCTTTTACCTCTTATTCCTGAGAGACAGGGATTAGAGATACTAGCCTAGCTAGACCAGAAAAGCCAAAAAAAAAAGTCTGTAAATTTCCAAAGATGTCCTGATTCTTTTTAAGTATCCTATGTAGTCTTTGCATGAACTATGATAAAGTTAAGTCCTTTAGTCCTTGTAAGTCAGTCCTCTTTGTAAAACTTCAAAGACAAAAAGGTACTTAACTGGCTTCCTTTTCAAAATTCTATTCCCCATCTAAATTCTTCTTATCCTCACCTCTAGTCAGTTCCCTCACTTTGCCCCGTGTGTGTGTGTGTGTGTGTGTGTGTGTGTGTGTGTGTGTGTGTGTGTGTGTGTGTGTGTGTGTGTGTGTGTGTGTGTGTGTGTGTGTGTGTGTGTGTGTGTGTGTGTGTGTGTGTGTGTGTGTGTGTGTTCTATCTCTTTCTTAGGTCTTACTTCCAAAATGCCTGTTTCCCACAACCCAACTAGGCAAGAATCAGATTATGTGATTAAAGTACTTCCAACTAATAAATAAATGAGTTTTAATCCAAGGTTCAATCCCACAGTATCATTCGACTCTAATTTATATAAGGCACAAACTCTAACCAAAGTATCTATTGTTACAAAAAATATAATCTTTTAATGGACAATAAAGACAAGAGGCACAGAAGTGTTTCCTTCACATCATATTTGCCTCATCCCTTTCCAAAACTCTCCCTCCCCATCTTCCAGGAGATGAGACTTTCATCGAGTAAAAGTTAATACCCAAGTAAAAAATGTAGACTAATACAGCAAACAATATAAACATTCAAACACTAAAATGATTGTAAAGGGCTTTAATATTACACATTAAGTGCAAGTATAATAAAAACTTAAAAATGAACCAGTGTGTTTTACAAGACAGGTATAAATCAACTTCACTCTAAATTCTACTTAAATTATAAATACTGAGAAGTTTTTCTTTAGTTATTTCCACAGTTAAAATATTAATATAGTATCCCCCCAATATTGGGGGTATATGCTTCAAGCCTACCTGGATGGTGGACTTGAATGGATATACCTGAATGGATGTCTGAATCTTTGGGTAGTACCAAATGAACCACATACACACACACACACACACTATTTTTAAACACACAAATACCTAAAGTTTAATTTTTAAAGTAGTACAATAAAAGATTAACAATAACTAACATAACTATTGTTACAAAACAATGGTGGAAATATATTGTAATAAAAGATGTAAAGATAGCCTTTCAAAAAAATATATATATATATACATTTTTGGGGGGTTGATCTTAGGGCTTGAATTCTGGGCCTGGGCACTATCCCTGAGCACTTTTGCCAAGGCTACTAGTGCTCTACCACTCTGATTCATAGTGCCACTTCTGGTTTTCTGGTGGTTAACTAGAGATAAGAGTCTCACAGACTTTACTGTCCAGGCTTGCTTTCAACCATGATCCTCAGATCAGTCTTCTGAATAACTAGAATTACAGGTGAGAGCTACCAGCACTCAACTCCTCAAAATATTTTATTTTAGATCTTAACCACCTTATTATTTCAACAACCATACAATTTTTTCTTTCTTTACAAAGCCAAGAACTTTAATTTTTTTTTTTTCAATTTAAAGGAAGCACTCTCTGGGGGCTGGGAAGGAAGCTCAGCGGTAGAGTGCATGCCTTGCAAGCATGAGGCCCTGGGTTCGATTCCTCAGCACCACATAAACAGAAAAAGCCGGAAGTGGCACTGTGGCTCCAGTGGTAGAGCACTAGCCTTGAGCTGAAGAGCTGAGGGACAGCGTCCAGACCCAGAGTTCAGGCCCCATGACCGGCAAAAAAATTAAATAAATAAATAAATAAAGGAAGCACTCTCTGGCTTCTCATCATATCTGAATTGTCAGGATCATTATTCTTACACTTAAGGATTAAGTAAAATAAGGGTTCTTTAACAATCCCTCTAGTAGCCAACATAACTGTAACTGAGGGATGGGTAGCATATACAGTGCAAATTCACATCCCAAGAAGGACAAAGGGGAAGTCACAAGATTTCGTTATGTTGCTCAGAATAGCATGCAATTTGAAATGTAAAAACTATTTCTGGGGGGCTGGGAAGGTGGCTCAGTGGCAGAGTGCTTGGCTTGCATGAATAAGGCCCTGGGTTCGATTCCTTAGCACCACATAAGCAGAAAAAGCTGGAAGTGGCGCTGGAGCTCAAGTGGTAGAGCGCTAGCCTTGAGCTGAAGAGCTGAGCAGTACCCAGGCCCAGAGTTCAGGCCCATGACCGGAAAAAAAAAAACCTGGAACTTTCCATTTAATATTTTTAGGCATTGGTAACTATAGGTAATAAACCACAAAAACTAAAAGTGTGGAGAGACTTCTGAGGAAATTCCAGTTCAATTTGTCCCAATGTATTTAAAGGCTACTAAACCTATCAACTGGTTTCAATTAGACTTGACAGCTTTCCCTAAGTCTTCCAACAGTTTGATATTCCAAACTAATTAACATATGTATGCCTCTTTTATTTCCAGTTAAAAACTTATTACAAGCAAGGTGCCAGTGGCTCATACCTATTATCTTAGCTACTCATGAGGCTGAGATCTGAGGACTGTGGCTCAAAGCCAGCCCAGGTAGGAAAGTCAGTGAGACTCTTACCTCCAATTAAAATTAACCACCAGAAAACCAGAAGTGACACTGTGGCTCAAAGTGGTAGAGCATTACCCTTGAGAGAAAAAGCTCTAGGAACAGCACTCAGCTTGAACAGAGTTCAAGCCCACAACTGACGAAAACCGAAACAAAACAAAAATTACACCTGACCAATAACACAGGTCCTAGAAATCAGAATGCAATTATAGACAGGTGTGCATTTGATTGGGCTCACATAAAATTATTTTAATTATTTCAACTAGCTGTCATAATATTTAAAATAGACTACACATAAAAATCTAGATTTCCTGTACTCTCTGAGAAGGTTAAAAAGGCTAAAAGACCATAGTCATATACAGAACTAATCAGGTAGCCCTCAATACTGGATGACTCTCTTAGACAAAACCTGAACATTCTAATAAACATCACATTTTCATTACCTGTCCAATACCTTGAAGGCAGGTGGGTTTGAGTCGCATAACCTATCACCTATGAAAGGTGAATAATACTTTCCAGATCTTTCATACTTCATTAATTTATCTAAATGTAAAAGGCCACAAAATAAAACTTAGTTGTTTATGATTGCATAATTAAAAATAAAACAATTTATAACACCTTGAATAAAGAATGAAATAGAACAAAACAGATGGTTAGGAGGATAATATACACAAAGTAACAAGTCCATCTGAAAGCTTGTTTGAGAGTCAAAGAAAAAGGTTTAAGTACTCAAAAACACTGCTATGATACCAAAAGTTTAACATTTTAGTTCCTTACTACAGGCCAGTATTCAGAATCTCCCATCCTCCTTTTCCTTTATGCATATAACTTTCAGTTAATTCATAAGAATTAAGAATTCTTAAGAAATGTTTGGGATATTGATCAAATACATTTACACCTTCAAAAATAAGTCTCTTCACACACTTTATTACCAGTAATCTACCATCAAATCATTTCTCAAGTATTTTCTACTACTTTCTGCTTGATGTACAAATGACACTTCAGTTCTTGGGTTTCAAGAACAAATTTCAATCCTGGGATGCTCTCTCCAGTACTGAAACTCGTTTAGCCCATATGCCTACATGTTTATCTTTTCGTTAAAATTTTCCATAGGCTTTTTCGTTGAAAATGTATCCTTAAACCCTTCTCTAAAATTTAAGAAGAAGAAAAAGAGTGACAAAATTGGATAGAAGGAATGGATAGCAGGAAATCAAATGTCCAAGTAAAATCACTATATTGTGCTGCTTCATCTAGAGTTGTTCTTAAAAAAAAAATAAAATAAAATAAAGATTCCTCAAAGAATTTCATATGCGAAAGGCACCGAGTGACAAGCCAAATGGGACTATCTTCAGCATGTGTGGACTACTATCGTGGATTTAAAACACTAAGAAGAAAAGAGAAATACACAATTGGTTAGGGTCAGGACTAATAAACACTAATCACACGAACCAATTAGTAAGGTCTTAAGTTCTCCCCACGCTAAGGGAGGTGGTTGTTAAGGGGACTTGTATCTGAAGAGGAAAGAAATCAGAACCTTTTCTCTACAAGTTTTGGGGAAACAAAGCTTTCACCATAACGTGCAAGTCTGAGCACACAAAACCCACGCCAGCACATGATTGTCTGTGTGTTGGGGGGGGGGGGGGTCTCCTCTTCACTGAAAGGGAGACTTGCTCCCCCGCGCCAGGAAAAGTACTCACCGCGCTATTGTGATGCGCCCCCCGCAGGCGGTCGCGGCGAAGGCCCAGGATGACAGGAAAGGGGCGGGGCACACGGTTCTTCTGCCCTGGAGAAGAAGGATGAGGGGGACTCGCCTTCATGCCCGGCGAAAGGCCTCCGCACTGCCAACCGCAAAAGCAGTCCCGCCTCTGCCTCTCCGAGCTGGGTGCCCGCCGCCGGGGCCCAGCACGCCACCCCGGCTCCCGCCCGCGCTTCGGCCCCGGCCCCGACTCTCACGCACTCCGCCCCTCTTTCCTCCCTCACCCGCCAGCCAGCCAGACCTCCCGCGCCGCCGCCACGGCGCTCGCCCGCAGGAGCCCCTTCCCCGACGAACCTGTAGTCTCTCCTGGGCGGTCACGGAGGATCAAAGCAAGAGCCGCGTCGGTGACGCCTTCCGCCGCCCCCCACCCCCACCCCTGCCCCGTCAACGGAATCCTTCCCGGGGTGGTTGGTTACCAGGCGGCCACTTGGGCGGCTGCGCCTACCCAGAGCTGCCCCCGGCAGGTTGCAGGCCGGCTCCTCAGCCTCTTCTCGCGAGAGCCCGCAATTCGAAGAGGCGAGGCTCACCGTGTTCTCGCGAGAAGAGCGACTCTCCGCCCCAGGTGGGTGGGAAGCTCAGGGCGAAGGCAGTGGAGGCAGTGGCGGGCCTGAGGTGAGTCGGCCGTCCACCGACCGTGTTGGCGGAGCGGCGGGAAGTTTCGTGCGACCCGCTCCTCACCGACGTCGGCTTTGAGTCCCACTCAGCCCCCTCGACTTCCCGGGGAGAAGGGCAGGCCTGGTCTCCAGCAGCGAGTTGGTTGGTCCCCCGCCCCGCCCTCGGCAGGGGAAGCCCCGAATCGCCTCGGCGGGGCCTTGGAGCGCGCGGGGACAGACCGGACCCGGTGGAAGGCAGTGGTCCCAAAGGGCGCGCCCTCCTCCTCTGGAACCCACCGGGCTTGGGTTTTGTCTGGTTTGGGGTTTGTTTCCGTCGTGGGGCTTGAACTCGGGCGCCGTCTCTGAGCTCGTTCGCTCAACGCTAACCTCTACCGCTCTGAGCCACCAGCTCCACTTCCCCACGCGGACGTTCAGTTGGCGGGAGCCGGTGTTCCCGCTGAAGCACCTGCGGATTGGGACGTCGAGGGCCAACCTGACAGGAGCCGTGCCCCAGTGAGGAGGTCCCCGCCCCCTCTACCCCCACCCAAAGCTTCAGCCCGGCTCGCCCGGAGCCTGCCCAGTGCCAGACGTGCATTATAAAAGGCAAGTTCGTGTCCTGGGGAGAAGAGCCACAGGGAAATCCCTAATCCTATTACGTTTTGCTAAAGACTTTGCTGCCCCTGGGAGCCGTGTGAGTAGAATGCGGAGTTAACCCCACAGGCTCCACCTGCCAGGTGAAGAGAACCACTACCAGAGAAAGACCTTGAAGCTGCAAAGATGAGCAAAAAGTTTTCGCCTTGCAAAGGGACAAAATAAAGGAAGAGAACCTGATTTACGTAATTTTGGTATGGAAACAGATTTATGGAAATAACTTCGTTGCCAATCCTTTAATCATTGTTTAGTTCAGAGGAGAATTTCCCCCATTTTCCACATGTGATAACTTTCCAAACCGATGTTTAATGTTAAACATAGGAGCAGTTGAGATGGGCAAATTATAAGCATTCTGTCAGAGACCAAAGGAAAGCAAAGGTTTTTGTCATCGCGTATCAAATTGTTATTGCCAATAATCTTTGAAAAATGTACAATGGAAACTCTGCAATACAGATCCTCAAGCCAAAAATCACACACACAAAATCCAGCAACAAAAAAGCCTAACAACAACCTCATCAATATTTTCTCCTGCAAGCTATGCACAAAGGAGATAAGTCTAAAGCACAAGCTAGGCATAGTAAGGTCTGTCAAACGAGGATTATTTCCTTATTTCAATATATCTGTTCATGTTCTAAAGAAAGTCTTTGATAGATCACAGAGCTGCTAAAAATATCCCTGTAGGTAAATATTTATTTATATGAGCACACACACACACACACACTTTTGACTCCATTCAAAATATGCCCAGCACTTAATAGGACCACAAAAAACTTCTAGTTCAAGGAATTTTCCAAGAAACATAACAAAAGATTTGATACAAAGAATTCATTTCATACAGTTATTCAGAAAGAGAAAGATGGGAAATGAGAGAAGATAGAGAAGAGGAAAGGAGGAGAAGGGAGGGAGGCAAAAAGGGAGAAAGGGGAAAGAAAAATCGAGTAAAGTTCCTATTCACTTCACTTTAACTGAGAACTTTCAAATACTGTTTGCATGTATTAATATATATGTAGTGTGTAGTGCCATGGATTCAGACCACAAATTTGTTTTATTCAATAATTTACAAATCCTGGGCTGGGAAGGTGGCTCAGTGATAGAGCGCTTGCTTGCATGGGCTGGGGCCCTGGGTTCAATTTCTCAGCACCACATAAGCAAAAAGAAAAAAGCCGGAAGTAGCGCTGTGGCTTAAGTGGTAGAGCTCTAGCCTTGAGCTGAAGAGCTGAGGGACAGTGCCCAGGCCCAGAGTTCAGCCCCCACGACCGGACCCAAAAAAAAAAAAATTTACAAATCTTATAAACCAGCAGTTTGATATAGAAGTAATGAATTAACAAGTTTGTGTGGTTACTGTTGTAAGTTATGTCAGCAACATAGACATATTTGTATCTTCCCAGTGTCCAAACTTATTGGAAAACAAATTTATAAGGCGTCAATTTTATAGACTTTAAGTCACCAAGAATTCGTGATTTCAGTTGGTTCTTGTGGTCATTGACAAACACTGGTTCTTTTTATCCCATCACAATCTGTTATTGATATTAACTCTCAGATCATCCATTAAACTTCACAAAAATATACCAGTTACAGATAAGAGGATTTAAGCAGCTGTGAGGCTCAAAGGAGTCTTACTGAAGATAAGAGCCAGAAAATTGATCAAAATGCAGTCACTGCAAGTGGTATGTAGACATTAATATAATGATCCCAGTCACATAGCTGTTCAGGGTCAGAGATGCCAAAACAGAGTTGGTTCAAGGCACAGAACTCATCCAAGTTTCAGAGCTTGGCACAATGGCAGTTTCAGTGGGCTATATCAAACTGGACTCTGCTGAGTGGAAGCTCCTAGAGACAGGAGTTTGTCACCTGCTGATCCTGTGAGTCATACAGTAAGGGGATTGATAGTGAGGGATTGGTAGGTGATTATATTCACCAATGTTAAGTGTCCCTTCTTTAATCTGATCCAAATGAGGTGATTGCATTTATTTGTTGTATTTGATAAACTCACAGACTTAAGTTCCTCTGGAATGATTTTGATATGCCCCTGCATTTACATGTTCATAATGATTGAATTCATAGATGGTAAATTTTTTATCTATGAAAGTAAGTTATCAGTTTGTACCTTTTGATTTAAGCTGAATAAATGGTGATTGGTGGCTTGCACAAACAAAATGAAGTCATTCTTCCTCAGTATTTGTACTCAAAATTGAGCAAACTGGAACCAGAGGCATTGCTCAAGTGGTAGAGCACCATCTTTGAATGGAAGAGCCCAGACAGCAGCAGGAGGCTCTTCAGTTCAAGCTCCAATAACCATACCAAAATAAAATAAGCAAACTTCTGCTTCATAAAATGGGGTTACTCATGATAAAGTACATTCTAAAAGCTACTGTTCTATTCAATGTAGAATATCTAGCCCAGGGCACAGCTTGATCTCTACAATTGCCTACATTATAACATGGTAAATAAAAATGGTTTCAAGGCAGAGGATAAGGTAGCCTAAAGTTGAATAATTTTGTAAATTAACAATTCATATGAGAGTCTTACTTTTTAAACAAAATTTCACTAGCCCAAACTGATATTTCTGCCTTAGCGTAAGTGCTAGAATTGCAAGCATGACTACCATGCATGACAAGAGGCTACTTTTATAGCATAGGAATTGGGCATAGGGGTCCAGCTCACTGATAGAGCACTTGTTCTGCTTCCACCCCATCCCAAAAAATTTTTTAAAGAAAAAAGGTTTGGAGCCTAGATTTCTTTGTACTACAAAGTTTGTATCCTGCCAACTAATGACAGGAACAGGAAAACTATACACGCACACAAGGAATTCTATCCCTGTTCAGCGAATACTATATAGATACTACTCTAAGAATACTGAGATATGCAGATACTACTGATATATATATTCTGATAACAATAAGATGCATAGGTAATAACAAAAGGAAAACAAGTCTGGTTATACAGAGAAATAATGCACTATGGAGAAATAAGGACTCAAAGTGTTCTACAAATGTCCAGTGATATTGCCTAGCATATACAAGGCCTCGGTTCAATTCCCAGCATTGCAAGACAAATGGTGAGAGGGCATGTGAAAAACAGAGTCCACATGGCAAATAATAGAAAGTAAATAAAGAGGAGGATCCATAATTGCACTTCCACAACACCCCTCCTGTAAGAATGAATCAAGTCCTTGAGAACCACATTAATTCCTTCAAAGGACTATGTTCTCAGCTTCCTAATTACTTCTCACTACACTCTATCACTTAACTGTTTTAACCTCTCAACATCATTACTCTAGGGATCAAGCTTCCAAATTGTTGAAAGACTAACTACATTCAAACCACAGAAACAGATTACTTAAAAGAGGTTATTCAGAATTCATAAAAGATGTTTATAAATCAATAGTAAAAGATAAACAGCATAACAAAGAGAACTGGGCCAGCTATGTATGAGGGTACATATCTGTAATCCCACCATTCTCGAAACTAAGGCAGGAAAAATGTAAATTTGAAGACAACCTGGGCTATACAACAAGACCTTGTTTCAAACCACATAAGTAACCTAGGACATGAAATTTAAAGAAAAGATAATCTTTAGACTTGCAAAAAATTTTAAGTTTTTTAAGTAAAAATATAACGCGGGGACAAAAGCAAATGCTACAACCACTTGGGAAGATAGGTTGGTATCTGCTAACAAAGGTGAAGATGCATATACTATAAGATCCACATATTATATTTCTAGGCACATATCATAATGAAATCCTTGTAGGTAAAAGAGGTAAGTGAAGTGTGATAGTAGAATGTCTATAAAATAGGATTTGTGCAGGTGCCAACACTTTGTATTTCAGGAACAGACAAATATCTCAAAATAGAATCCACAAATAAAGCTCAATAATAAATCTATACTAGGATGTTAGCAAGATGGCAAAATAGGAAATTTCAATCTTGATAACTTTAGAAACAATATAATTATAAATGAGGCAATGCCTTCACGGGAAACATATTTAAAGAGCAGCAGTCCCCACAAGAATGTAAAACAGAATTGCCACATTGACTTGGTGGTCACAGCACAAGAGATAAGAAAAAAAATCTGCTTAAATTTTAGTTAAATGTTGCTTAAAGATATAAAAGTATTGTTAGGTGAAGTCCTTATTCTATAATGAACACACACAAACCTAAGTAATATTGCCTACTGCATCTAGGCTATAAGGAATGTCCTTTTATTCCTAGATTACAAACCTGCAGCATGTTAATGTACTGATGGCTGCAGTCAATTATAGGTGCTGTGTTTTATGAATAAACACAAAGATAAAGTTTTAATACTGGTAATAAGAATTTTCACTTCTCAGTGATATTCAGTAGACACTATGTTGAAAATGAACTATACAATTTGTGGGTGAGGACAGGAGGGAAAAACTGGAGGAGGGCAAAGGAAGGAATGACATTGTCCAAAAGGAAATTACCTGACTTATGAAACTGTAACCCTTCTATATATCACCTTTATATTAACAATATAAAAATATTTTTTAATTCTTAAAAAGGATCATCACTTCTGTCATACCCTTATGGAGCTACAATCATTTATATTGACCAAACAATCCTTATGTGGTACATATCTGTAATCAGACATTCCTTTTCTCATTCTACTCCATCTGCCTCAGGCCTTTTGGAGAGGAACAGACAGAATGGCCTTTTTACCTGTCCCCTGTGTCTTAACATATTTTGGATCCAGACGATTCATCAACATGGCCCTAGAAGTCCAAGTACTGAATGCCTGGGCTAAGCATGTTACAGGTGCATGCCGAGAGTCTATGTTCACAGAGCCATAGATAACTCCCTCATTTTCCAATGATCTGCAGTGTCTAATGTGGCTATATCCAGACGGAACACTCAAAGAATCCTGAGGTTTCATTTCTGCTATGTGTGTGCTGACCTCCCCCTTCACTTGTGGCAGACACAATTGAAATTAAAAGTGGGAGGAGCAGCAGAATGGTCTGTAGATTTGTAGAGTATCTGGCATGTCAGGTAGGACTTTACAAGAATCTTTAGATCCATGGGTCTGGTATGGGAACTTCATATTTGCTGGGACTGTACTATTGTGGTAGTATGCAAGGGTTTTTTAAACTGTGACCTAGGAACATATTCATTTTTCAACTTCTCTAGTGATTTTAAACACACACTTCTAGAATGTCTTTACATGAAAGTCGCTCTACCCACTAATGGCCTGAAAACCCAAGAGAGGTGACAGCATATAACATTAAGATCTGTATCAAGGAAACTACAAGAGGTGGGCTGGGAAGGTGGCTCAGTGGTAGAGTGCTTGTCTTGCATGTGTGAGGCCCTGGGTTCAATTCCTCAGTACCACAAAAGCAGAAAAAAAAGCCAGAAGTGATGTTGTGGCTCAAGTGGTAGAGTGCTAGCCTTGAGCTGAAGAGCTGAGGGACAGTGCCCAGGCCCAAAGTTCAGGCCCCACTACCGACAAAAAAAAAAAAAAAATACAAGAGCTAAAATTTGGACACCATACTCTAAAGGAGACTTGGGATCTCAGCCCAAAAGGAGGAGCATAGTGAATGAAACACACCCAACCTATTGTAATATTGACAAGAGTTTCTAAGGTTGATTTTAAAATCTTGTCTTAATTCTAAATGCTATTTACTTGAAATTGAACTGGAACCAAAATTTTCTTTCATCCTCTGTCATGTTTCCCAGAAACCACCACCTCCATGAATTTTTCGTGTAACCAAGAGCTAGTATCTAAAGAGCATCTGAGATGAATATTCATGAACTCAACTCCTAAGGACAGAGGTTAGAAGGACTCCTTTGTATATGCCAAACAGAAGGGGAATCATGAGGCCGAAAACTGTTAGAAGGCACAAGGAGAAACTCAGGAGATGGGGCGGGGGGAATGTCAGAATAGAGAGAATACTGAGTCATCATTTGAGACTGGCTTTGCATAAAGTAAAAACTCAGTAGGGATAGTGAAACAATTGTTCAGCTCCCACAATAAAATTAAACTCGTATAAACCAGGAATTTAAAAGACTACAAAATGACAAATTATAATTTTATAATTATAAAATTATAAACACATAATGTTT